TAGACTGACTATAGCTACAGAGATTAGTACAACACTACGCTGCTTCACTGCACTTACACATGTATAATTATACTCTGAGAAATTTTGCACTTTACACTTATAATCTAGTGTCTATCTATAGTAAGCAGTCTTTGTTGTTCAGTGTCCTCTGTGAAGAACACACTGGCTAGAGCTCTTGCAATAAAACATCCAAGACGCTGTGGAATCCTTTTCTTGGCTACTGTCCAGTAAACTACAAGACATAAAATGTAGATGAGGGGTAATGCAAAGGAAAAAAAACCAAAGTATCTTGATATTTGTGAAGCAACCGAATCGTGTGGACCAAGGAAGAATCCAGTTGTTGAGAAAAACAAAACTGAAAGCAACACGAGGACCGTACAGTCAAGGATGTAATGTAAGAAAGTTCGCTGAGGATGCAGGATCGCCACACTAAAACCAAGAATTGTGACAAGTGAGCCAAAAACTATAAAAGAATATAGTGAGTTCAGTAGAATGAAAATTGCCATTAATGCAAAGCGGGCCAAGAAAAAAATGGCAGAGAAAAAGCGGTAATCCTTGGTATTTTCTGTGCCATCCTTGTAATTTCCTTGAAATGCATCCATGAAGATTCGCAGTGCGACAGAGTTACAGTCAAATTTGTTCAAGAATCTCTGAAAGAAATTGCAAGGATAAACAAAGAAAAGCAGCCCGGGAAGTAAGGTGAAAATAATAAAGAAGAACGCAGCAAGTAGAGCATATGGCAGATGATGTGTTCCGAAATACTCAACATCCCCAGCTAGGTAGAGATACAGCTTATTGCTGATAGTTCCATCGGGAAAGTAAAGAGCAGTTGCAGACAAGAGGTCAAGAGTCACACTCTGCACCTTCATGGCTGACAGAAAATACAATGTTGCAAAAGACTCAATCAGCGATGTTTTGATGTTAAGGTTGCGAACACATGGCCTCAGAACTGATCTGAAAGGTTTCCAGAGAATGACGACAACTTTTACATTACGACTGTACAGCGACACCAGGACAAATGCAATAAGTAACAGGGCAAGGGGATAGAGTGCCACAAGATAGTCTATTGCATGTGCTTGCACCATGGTCATGTGCGGATGAAGACAAAAAGGCTCGTTGAAAGCGCGAAATATGTCCAAGTTCCAGATGCTGATTAGACTTACATAAAACTTTTCTCCAAATCTAGTGCCCGGGTGTGCTTCCTTGTATCCATGGACATTTTGGGCCATCCTTACAATTGTCGGCATTGAAAGGATCTGACAGTAGAATACAAACCCAAATAGGTATGGGGAAGTAGCACTGATGTGAAAGAAGCAGATCAGGAGACAGAAGACTGTTAGCGGACCAAAGGCAACACCAATGTACCTCAGCCAGTTGAGACGGTAGTCAGTGCATTTAACACAGCCAAGTGAATATGAAAATACAGGAGGTGCAAATCCCTTCACACAATGGCCACACAGCTGACCCTCACGGTTCAAACCGGCACACGTGTACTCGTTCAGTTTAGATATATTACAAGGAAGAGGGTAGTAAGAGCTCACACGCATATCAAAAGAGAACAAGCAACTGCCAACGACATCTCTTCTGGTAGTGCTGCTCTCATTAGAGGTTGTCATACAGTACAGAGTCTGTAGGTACGTTTGGTGAGTGTTGATCTGGAAGAGCAAAATAGAAGAAAAGTCTTTCCCAGGTTTGCACGCTCCAATCCCTTCTGGATCTCTGTAATACCATGGAGGACACATTAACTCTGCAGAATCAGTTTTAGATGTTGGTGCTAAACTGGAACTGTTGAGGTTCAGCATGTTGTTGCTGCTGTTGTTGTGGGTGAGGTACGGCTTGCAGTCTTCATTCTGTGTTCCAAACACTTCAGGTTCATCGAGTGCTCTAGCTGAGAGCAAATATAGCACTACTAAATGTAGAAAGATGAGCAGAACATTCATTCCTTACTCTGAAGTGATACTAAAACGAATGGTACAAGAAACATGCCGTGAGGTGACGAAGCAGCGTGCTTTTATTCATCTTGCTGTTGTGTTTACCTATTACTATCTTATCGTCATCTAAGTACACATGGGTGGGCTCGTTGCTATGGCAGCATGGGAAGGTTTCAGTACGTGTAGTAAGTGTAAACAATTACACAGAACAGGTCATATGTACATTAAGGTGTGTCACATTCTTTTGGGAAAAAAATATGCTTTTACAATGTATATTATAGTGATGTAGAAGCTGGAAAATTGCTAGTAACTATGTACATGGCTAGGTGTCGTTTGCAGTGACATGCTCGACTGCCAAAATTCACAGCAGACCAATGTGGTGTGAGGTTCTCACAAACTAACATTCTTTACATTTTACCCCAAAATACCAATATCTTTGCATTTTTATGTAGACATTTATAACATTTTCACAGCTTTTTCTAAAGGTGGCGCAATATAACCATCCTACATTCCAATATTCCTTTTATGTGCTATGACACACTATCAATGAAGTCGATCTCTTTCAGTTTGGAAAGTGTCATATCAGATGCTGTTTGTGATTCCATCAAAGGTATATTTGTTTACTCTCTTTCCATAAACACTCTAGTTTGATTGATGTCTCTATGGAAAAACTGACTAAATATTTCCCACAATAGCGTATACTAGCTACCTTAGATAATACGTTGTCAGAGGAGACAAGCTCATACACTACAGTAATAATAGTTGAAAAGGGAACCAAGATAGGGATAGGATATGTACGAAGCATGGTTAAGTAGGAACAGATTTGGCGGCTGGTTATGCAACTGGACACTATTAATAATTTGGATTTTGGGATGGAATAAGTGGAAAATCAAATGAGGTCAGATGCATGGCTAGAAGCACCAAAATATTAATACACAGGTGGCAGCCACACCACTAGGGTCATCGACCATGGACCCAGAGCAATGGGAGGAACCATTAACGAACAAACACACACCAAACGAACATGCACACGACACTGGTGTCTGTCTGACCTCCCAGACACTCCAACTCACCCCTTCCACCAGCGACACCCTGCAGCTCCCCAGAAGCCATCTGAGACTGGAACAGTTGCATGCTTGGATTATCACCGCATAACTTAACCTTTCTTAGCTCCTAAACATCTAATATAAAACCCACAACAAGGTTAAGCAGAGAACCAAATTTATCCTCCCATTTATCTTAAAGAGCTCGCTTTCGCGTTCCAGCTGATTGCCATTGGAGCTGTTTGTTGCAGGTGGCTATGTCGTCTACGGCATGTCCTCCGCTTTTTACTTTTGCTAGCGGTCACATGACTGAACGTTGTGCACCCATGCACTGCTGTGCCATTTTTGCGAGGTGGTCCGATTATTTCAGGGGGGTCCAACAATGTTCGGGGGTCCGAATATTATTTGGACCGGGGGGAACCAGAAGAGGGGTCCAAATTAGTATATATGACGTAGATTACCTGGCGATGGCTGAAGAGTTTGTCCTTGATAATCCCGATCTAAAGCCTTTTGTGCTCTCTGATGTCCAGCTAACTGGCACAAAAATCGGCAGCGGGGCCTATGGCAGAGTGGACGAAGTTGTGATAGTTGTGGATTCCCAATGTACATAATCATTATTAGAGCGTCGGATGGCAAGGGTGAAATCTCACGTGAGCCGGGTACAACACGACTAAAACTCATATGCACCTTCAGTCGTCCACGTGAGAATTTGCTCATACGCGATTTCACGATTTTCGTGTCATCATAATTCTTCTTCTCCTTTAAGTAGTGATGGGAGACTTGGAGGACTTTTGTTTGCAGATGAATTCGTTGGTGTTAGTGAGTCTAAGGATCAGTTATAGATGTGGTGCATGCCTACTGTCGAAAATGGAGGCTAAAGGCTAATGTGAGTAAGAGTGCAGTGATGGTTTTCACTAGGGAGTCAGTGGATGGTGCTTGGAAATGGGGGGAGTATGTTTTGCCTAGAGCATCTAAATACACATACTAGGGTGTTGATTTTACTAATACTGGTGCATTGGATGTGCATATCAAGAATGTGTTAGACAACGATAGAAGGAAGGTTAATCAGTTGCATAGTAATAGGGATATTAATTTGAGTGCTCGCAGGTTGTTGTTGCTGGCGGTGGTTAAGCCAACTTAGGGGTGAGGTGTGGGAAGCCAATAAGACTCAGGCAGCTGCGTTAGAGTCCGTTATGCTGGGAGGAGCTAAGCGTATTCTTGGGTGTTCGTCTAAGATATGTAATGAAGCCGTTAGGGGGGATATGGGGCTTGATACATTACAAGGGCGTAGGGATAAGAATAAGTTGAAGTGGTGGTATAAGTTAGCGGCATTGCCAGGCAATAGGTATCCGAAGAAGCTTTTTAATCAGGAATGGAATTTTAAGCCACGGAGAGGCAGGCAGAGGAAGTGTTGGAGTGAGGTCATTGATGATCTCCTTTCGTCATTAGGTCTTGACAAGGGAGAGTGGTTGCATGATATTCAAAATGGGGATTGCTCATTGAAGGGCTTTCTGTCTATAGTAGGGGACAGTATTAATGAGAGGGAGATTAGAAAGTTTGAAGAGGGGCTCAATAGCAAAGCAAAGCTGTTATTGTATAAGACATTTAACAAGGTGGTAGAGTTCAAAAAGTACTTGCATGGGAAAAGTGATGCTGGGTCTAGATTAATGTTTAAGTTCAGGTCAGGCACACATGGGCTAAATGAGGAACTTGGTATAAGCATAGGGGGAGGGAGGGGATGAAGGAGTGCTTGTTGTGTGATGATGAGTGTGAAAGTGTGAGTCATGTGTTGTGGGAGTGTCCAACATGTCATATAGTAGTTTTAGGAGCAATTTCTTAGTTGCCCTTCAGGAGAAGCTTGGGGATGATGGGTTTGAGCATTTCCAGTCGCTTCATGGTTTCAGGAAAGCATCCTTTAGTGAGCTGTGGGAGGATAAATTTGGTTATATGCTTCGCCTTGTTAACGGTTTTATTTCGGATGTTTGGGAGCTAAGAAAGGTTAGGTTATATGGCGATAATCACAGCGTATATACAACAGACCCAGTCTCAGATTGCGTCTGGGGAGCTGCAGGGTGTCGCTGGTGGAAGGGGTGAGTTGAGGTGTCTGGGAGGTGAGACAGACACCGCATGTTCATATGGTGTATGTTCGTTTGTTAACGGTTCCGCCCATTGCTCTGAGTATTATTATTTCTACGTGACCCGCCGGCGAGAAGGGATCGTGCGCGCGTATATACGCCTACGATAGCAGCAGAGCTGGCAGGAGACCGCCTCTCGCTCCAGAAACAGCTAAGACATAGAACACAGGAGGCAGCGGCAACCAGATGAGGACTGGAATCAGTCGCGGATCCGATGGTCCGATCGAGAAGGCGTGGCTGCGCGCGCAGCCTGGGCTACACGTGCGCGCGCATGCAGCTGGCCGCGCCGCCGCGCCGGCGCGCGCGTGTTGAAACGCACACGGTGACCTTGCGGTGTGTACATGATGCTTTATTGTAGAATTGTGTAGCTTACACAAACACAGCACAAACAGGAGAGGGACGCCTCCAGCAACGGAGGACGGCTATGCGACACACTCCCTGTGCATGCTCACCAATGGCAGGATATCTGCAGTTGGATCGCTCCCGCTTGCCAATGCTTAGCATTCGTCTAGTAGTTCTTAGCATTTTCAAGCAACTGTATGCCACGTCACATCTTTGTGTTACGCCATGCGTCTCGTCAATACTCGAGGACAGTGCTTATTGACACGGGCCGCTAACGCGGTATATAGTAGCGTCTCCGAGCGTATATACAAGCACATGGCTTATTTGCGTATATAGCCCCAGTGCCACAGGGAGCTAGAAGACGCAAATTGTCCCAGGAAAAACGGGCGTGGCAGGGCGTACATACGTATGTGTGCGCACAGGCAATAAAAGTCGTAGTTTCAAGTTGCTGCGCGCTGTTCAAACGATGTATCCAGCAGCTGAAATCGTCGTTATCGTTAGCTTCCTCTTTGCTGCTCTATATTATGGAGCCAGCGCGCTAAACGTGACTAAGCCTGTGTATTTCTCACTGATCATTTCAGGCGGTGAGAACGGTAGTTTTCGGTCCTCTGGCGGTATTCCGTCCATCGATATTGCACTGGAGGCTGTACAGAGCCGCCGTATACTCCCAGGGTATAATCTTACTTACGACCGGGTCAGAAACTCTAAGGTATTACTTACAAGGTAATCAGATATACATGCTATCAGATTTTTTCTTACTGACAGTGCACCCGAACGGACTCGCTGGACGCGTTTTTTCAAGAAACTCAGGATGGTACTGTTCCTAAGATAGCTGTGATTGGTTGTGGGTGCTCCACTGCAACTGAGCCGGTGGCTGAGATTAGTCACTACTGGAATATAACACAGGTATGCTTTGAAGGACACACAAAGCAAACCCAGCATAGCTTTTGTTTCACATTCTGAGCTAAAATGCGCTTTTCATAGCTAAGGGTCTAACATAAGTGCATAAGGACTTGGTGCATGTATATAATTTCACTGTATATCTGCATAGTGTATAACATGTATTGCATCACATTAATTTTGAGCAACCGCAACTTTTAGATATCATTTTCCGCCGCGTCACCTGGACTGAGTGACATGCAGGAGACGGTTCAAGCATTACTTCAGAACCACTCCCTCCTTTGGCACCTATGCCCCTTCCATTCTGGGGGTGCTTAACGAGTACAGGTGGAAACGACTTGCATTCATTAGTGAAAACCACGGTACCTTCCTTAAAGTAAGTATGTTTAATTACTGTTTACTTTCTGTTTGTATATATACTTAAGGCGTCAATTAAAATGTGATTGCATACATTACCTTTAGTGTAATAAACAGTCACCTAAACACTTTCCTTTTGCAGATAATAATTGATTTTGAAGAACTCCAGCAGCGTTTACGTGATGGTACCAGTGAATTCTGCTGTTTCGATAATCACAATGTTTTAGTAGAAAACGCAGTGTTTCAAAACTCCCAAGATGCAGTTACTGTTGCTGGACGACTCTTTGTAAGGATAACTACCTACTTTTATCACAAAAGTGTTCCTAAACTAGTTGCAGTGTAGTTAGTGACTCAAACAACAGTATTGCCCTTTTCTTGAAAAAGAGTTAGCAAGCATGTGATTTGCTGTTCCATGATCAAGAGCATGTGGCATCATCATTCAACACCATTCATGAGTGATGTGTGTTGTGTTTTTGGTAAACGTAATAATGACTCTCATAACTTCCCCTTAAAGGCTTTCCATTTCATGATTTTTAGCTATTGGGAGGTCACGCCTACCATACTTAATTGACCATAGTATTTTGAATTCGGGTTTTGGCTCGGTGCTGACCTTGACCAGCAGCAGTGGGGAGGGGCCTAGGTTCAAAACCACGAATGTCTGGGCAGGGTCAGCACATACCAGTGCAAAGCCTTGTGGGGATGAATTTCATTAGTTCAGAACCACAAGCGCTGCGCTCCAGGTAGCCCAAGCAATGCCAGGGGCGTAGCTAGCATTGAGGCAGAGGAGGCAGTTGCCTCCTCTGTTTTTGCCAACTTATGAATAATTTATTGCCAGCAGCGAGAGCATGCAGTTAGCACTGGGTTACATCAACCAAGAGCGGACATCTCCTCCAGAGAGTATCGTACAAGCCTGGGATCGCTCTGGGCATAGCCGTATTACTCTGGCCTTCCGCGATAAAACACTGACATTGTGCAACATCATTGCGCATGCGCGAAATTAATCGAATGCCATTTGCCTCCCCCAAGATTCAATCCTGGCTACGCCCCTGAATGCCTTGTGCTCATGGCAGCCTTTATAAACTCGTGATGCCAGAGAGAGAAGTTGCAGTATGCTCTGCTGATGAGGGCCAACAAGCCCGAAACAGCTGTCCAGAGCTCCCATCTTGTTTCTCTTGGCATCACATGGTATTTTCTGCATGTGAAAACTACGAGGTAGAAAGCCAAAGGCACAACAAACAAATCAACTAACACCAAGGACACCTCTCAGTTAATGAGTAAGCCTTTTTCCAATGAGGATAAAGTGGAGCGTTCTTTAAAGCCTTAAGTATCACCAAAAGATCAAACTGTACTAGCGATCTTGTGAAAACAAGTAAATTTCAAAGGGACCATGCCACATAATGGCTTGAGTAGTCCTTTCACGCAGTGACCTGAACCTTGTATTGGTCTGCCTAATATCATGTGACATACTATACCTTTGCTACATAAGCAGGTTATCTTTCCTATGTTATGCACAACACAGTTTCCCCAAGTTGTTGTGCCTCCTTTTTCACGTAAACATGTCAACAGTAAGCAGCTACTTTGACAAACACTCACTATCACGGAAGACAAAGTGTGTGCATACATTTAAGGAAAGTGAAGTGAAAGCAAACACTGATTGACTACATGCATCGCATGCTGTAGTCATATTTTCCCCTTGTAAAATTCCCATACCATGAAAAATACACCATGTGATGCCAAGAGATTAAAATATGCGGAGCTCTACCATGCATAGCTATCAACATAAGGATTCCATTCCTGCCACATAGTTCAGCCTATGTCAACTACACAAGCTATAATTACTGGCATTCAAATGAAATTTGATATCTATGAATGGAATGTAGAGGGATCTTTTGAAACAGCTTGAGTGCATATACGTTAGTTTGATATCCTATCCAAAATATCTTTTCTCATTGACCGGGTGAATATCCACCATGTACCGGGTGCATATTTGCTACTACTGTGTATTGCCAGTATCCAGCTGGACTTTAACCTCTAACATGATCATCGTCTCTAATGCAGGATGAAGGTAAATTCCGTGTCTTCCTTGTGAACAGTTTTTCAAGCAGTGCAAGGAAGATTATTTGTGAGGTACACTATAAACTGTTTGGTTTACTAACCCTCACCATGACGTGCAGAAAAGGGGGTCATTGTAGTCCAACTTCAAACAACCTGGCACTAGAATATACGCTGTATTCTGAGCTGTGGGCTGAGGGCTGACCATTGAACAGGAAGTCCTTATCACAACTTATTGTGACTTGCGTGGGCGGATCAAAGGTGCCGCGCATACTCTTATTTCCCGTATTGTAGTCGCGTTCAATATGGCCAATATTGAACGTTCAATACAAAAATTATTGAACTATCATCAGCATCGTAGACATAGTGTAGACAAAAACTGTCCTGTAGAGGCTGTAGAGACGAGGGATGACTGTTCTGTAGAGGCTGTAGAGGCGAGGGATGGCTGAGGCGACCACACCCCTTCATTCAGCTATCTCTTGCTCCCTGTGGCAAGCGCGACCGTGGCCGCGGCACACCGACCGGTCAAACGGCCCGCGACCTATGAAACGAGTTTCTCTGAGGGAGAAAGAGCCACCATCACGACCTTGTTCGATTGCGGTAGCCTCAGAACAGAAACTCGCTCGAGAACCTAGCGAGTGCGCACGTGCGCATGCTATGTCGTCGCATATAGCGCTAGGTGTAGTGCAAATTGTCTGGCTTCCAAAGTTTATACAAGTACTACATTGGACGACACAGCAGAAATTCAGCATTGTAGTTGGACTACAAATCAGTTAACAGCGCATACAGGATATCCTCCACAGCTGTTAACTATACTGGCCTCAGAGTATATCCTGCACCGCCTCGCAGCCTAATACTTACACAGCAAAGTTGCACAAAGCTACATACTACCATGACACAATCCCTATATTAAGCAAAGTTTAATATCGAACAAAGATATAGGGATGGTGTCATGTAGCTTTGTGCAACTTTGCTGTGTAATGATCCCTTGTTTCATTCCTTTTTGGTGCTTCAAGCCATCCCTATATCCCCCTTCATTTTGAAGAAATGATTTTTCCACTTGGGGAGGGTTATTGCAGTCGGTCTGTGTGTTTGTGTGTGTGTGTGTTTGTGGGGGTGATCGAGGAGAAAGGGAGGGAAACGGGGAGAAAGGAAAGTGACCAAACACAAACACAATGAGACCGGAGGCTGGGAGACTTTTGTCAACTTCACTACACGCGGCAGCTCAGTGGTCCAAATTACATGTATTTTTAGATTTACCAGGGTACCCACTTCTGCTTCAGTGTTTTGCGCTTGTGCAGCCCTAGCCTATCACATTGTAGTTACACAGTCTCACTCATACAAACACAAAGAGCAGGACATGGATGCCCAGCCTTGAGAACTGGGGACGGTGGGTTAAAGATCTTTGATGGCTAGCCAACTCTCCCCACACATCCAATGTCACAGACTCTCGTGCAAAATCTACAGCTTACAGTACTGGTTACAATCACATACCTTAGGCTCTCTGGGGGACTTGCATATCCTATGGTTCTACTAATGCACAGTGGGGTATTTATAGGGGGTTGTGATGTCATAGGTATGGAATTTCCTAAGTGGGAAGTGGGTCTAGGGTCTTGGGTGATGTATTTTACTCTAGTGATACTCACAAGTGTAAACATGGTGTGTGTGTGTGTGTGTGTTTGTGATTGGGGAAAGAAGAGAGAGAGGCAAAGTGTAGGCAGGACTAGAGCTAACGAGAGAGGGCGGGCGGCTTTTGTCGGCGTCACCGCATGCAGCCAGCCAGGTGCTTAAACGTCATGTAAACCTATCCACAAGTCCAGCAACATGCAGGTGCAGTGCTAGGCTCTTTGTTACTGGTCATCAGGGGAGTTCCCAATCTTTCACTGTGTCACACGCGTTTCGGCCTCTTTAAACTCCCGACACGTGAGACACTCCAGAAAGGGCGAGGCCACTCCACCTGGTTGGAGTCCAGATTTGCCTACTACATGGCTACAATTATTGTACTTACAAACTAACCTACATTACATAAAGGCAATTTTAGTATAGCAGCTACGTATCTTTAGTAATAACTTGCTTAATTCTTTGGTCTTCTCTATTCTTCACTTCTTTCTTTCTTCACTCTTGCTCCTAACTGAGCTACTACAGGCTGTTTTATACCTTGTTGTGGATGTTATGTCTACTAAAGTCAAAACTTTCCATGCTGTTAATTAGAGAGAGAGAGAGAGTGTGTGTGTGTGTCCGTGTGTCCGTCCGTCTGTCCACCGTTTTTCTCGGTAACCGCGGCAACTCTGAAGGTGAAACGTGGACATACTAGTGGAAATGTTGAACGTTGTTGGCGAGCGGGAGCGACCCAACTTGGGATTTGCTCGCGATGTTCGGGCTGCATAACGTGCCGTCAGCGCACAGCTTTCCTTTCGTGAAGCAACACAGATCTACCTGTCGCTGTTACATGCGTATTGCACATTGGCAGAACGGTGAGCAGGTGAGCAGAACGGTACTTACCTTACGCTTTCAGCTCGTCAGTCGTAGTCCACCAGGCAGCTGGCATGCAGCCGTATGTGCACGAGCAATCCTAGCGCATTTGCAAGTTGCACCTTGGAACCATGAAGATTGGGAAGAGGTACAGCCTCGGTCAGTCACCGAAGGCTACAGCGCATGCCGTCGAATGGAGGAGAGTTCTCTAGCTGGCTAGATCGATCGGCGCATATCGTGTGAAAATGTGTAAAGAATTTGGAAATAGTTTCGGATAAAAACAAGCGCGTACAAAGTCGCGCATGCGCACTTACACGACGTACTATACAGAAAATTCCTCTCGAATGAACGACTAGGTTGGCTCGCTCCTGCTCGCCAATTATCAAGTAGGAGGCATGCATGGTAAAACTAGTAGGGGAATGCATGGCATTTTTGGCGAGCGGAAGCGAGCTTACAAATGGGGTCTAATCGTATGAGTCACTCTTGTGTGTGCACAAAACACAATGCGTAGCAGCTGTAGGCGGGCCTCTCTCCTCACTGGACTCGGCAGAAATTTGGCGCTTTGAAGCTGTTGGGAGCCTGGCCTGATGTGCCTCCTCGGATTCTGCACCGCGTCTAGCTCTTGATCGTACACGACCTCTCGCTAGTCGCGATTCCCTTTCCTCCGCTGTTTCTGTTGCCCGGCGTTGCCTTGCCCGTTACCGATCACGCAATCGGCGTTGAGAAAGCCGAGCTTCTCTCTGCCCAGGAGTCTCACTGGCACGACGTTCTCTTTCCCTCTCTCGTCGACGACGAAGAGCATCTTCTCTAGACCGATCCATAACTCTTTCCCTTCCTCACACACTCACAAATTATCAGGGGTGGAGCCTACTGAGAGGTGGGCGACGTACCGACGACGTACCGACGACGTACGGTGACATGCGCAGTTCGGCGACGTACGGTGACATATATACTAGTAGGCGAATGCATGGCATTTTTGGCGAGCGGAAGCGAGCTTACAAATGGGGTCTAATCGTATGAGTCACTCTTGTGTGTGCACAAAACAGTGAGATACATTGCGTAGCAGCTGTAGGCTGGCCTCGGCAGCAATTTGGCGCTTTGAAGCTGTTGGAGCCTGGCCTGATGTGCCTCCTCGGATTCTGCACCGCGTCTAGCTCTTGATCGTACACGACCTCTCGCTAGTCGCGCTTCCCTTTCCTCCGCTGTTACTGTTGCCCGGCGCCCGTTCCCGATCACGCAATCGGCGTTGAGAAAGCCGAGCTTCTCTCTGCTCAGGAGTCTCACTGGCACGACGTTCTCTTTCCCTCTCTCGTCGACGACGAAGAGCATCTTCTCTAGACCGATCCATAACTCTTTCCCTTTCCTCACACGCTCACAAATTATCAGGGGTGGAGCCGAAATTATCAGGGGTGGAGCCTACTGAGGGGTGGGCGACGTATATACCGACGACGCACGGTGACATGCGCAGTTCGGCGACGTACGGTGACATATATACTAGTAGGCGAATGCATGGCATTTTTGGCGAGCGGAAGCGCGCTTACAATTGGGGTCTAATCGTATGAGTCACTCTTGTGTGTGCACAAAACAGTGAGATACATTGCACAGGACCAAGTGGGCCGAAACGACCCGAGCGCAGTAGACAATTCGAGTCGAGTCAAAAACAGTCAGACGACAGCGCGAATCAGGCATAATCCGGCAATCTGATTGGTCTTGCAGGAATAGGGAACAAGTGGCAATGTAGAAAAATCTCTCGCTGGACTGTGCAGCAATACTCGATAGCTTCGGAGGTGTTGCGTTTCCCCTGATTCCGCTCGATTCAGGCAGCATTATGAAAATGTTGAAATCCCTTTCGGATAAAAAGAAGCGCGTAATGCTGGAGCATGCGCAGTTGGACGACGTAGGGTTACATACATATATATATATATATAGAAAAATCGCGCCGTTCGGACCACTAGGTTAGCTCGCTTCCGCTCGCCAACTAGTAGGCGAATGCACGGCATTTTTGGCGAGCGGGAGCGAGCACACAATGATTATATCCGCACGAGCCAACCTAGGCTACTTACAACTTGCAGCTTGGAACCACGGAGATTGCAAGCCTCAGTTAGGTACCAAAGAGTGCAGCGAATGCCGCCGAATCGACGAGAGTTATCTTCCTGACTCGGCATCGAGCTAGCAGCAAGAGCGTGTAAAAATTTCGGATAAAAAGAAGCGCGTAATTCTGACACATGCGCCATAGCACGACGTACGGACGGTCGTATAGAAAAATCGCGCCGTTTGGACTACTAGGTTAGCTCGCTCCCGCTCGCCAATTATATCCCAAACATGGGGCAGTGTGTATTACTAGTAGGCGAATGCATGGCATTTTTGGAGAGCGGGAGCGAGCACACAATGACTCTATCTGCACGAGCCATCCTACAACTTGAACCTTAGAATCACGGAGATTGGAAGGAGGTATAGACAGCATCGGTCAGGTATCGAAGAGCGCAGCGAATGCCAACAAATAGACGAGAGTTCTTTGGCTGGCTATATTTCGCATCGCTATGACAGCTAGGCAGCGTGTAAAAATTTGGGCGTTCCCTATCACGAAAGCGACGCTGATACAAACGGGTCTCTCTGCTCATGAGTCTCACGGGCACGATGTTCTCTTTTCCACTCTCTTCGACGACGAAGGGCATCTTCCCCGGACTATACGCACATGTATACGCACGACATCATCACAGGCAGGCAGCGTGTGAAAATTTTTAAATCCTTTCGGATAAAAAGAAGCGGGTAATCCTGGAGCATGCGCAGTTGGACGACGTACGGTCGTAGATAAATCCGCGCCGTTCGTACCACTAGGTTAGCTCGCTCCCGCTCGCCAATAAATATATATAGAAAAATCGCGCCGTTCGGACCACTAGGTTAGCTCGCTTCCGCTCGCCAATAAGATTCTGGAGCGGAGAAGGCCGGGGAAGCGGGCGAAACGGAGGGCTGCCGAGGTGAGTGTGCGTCAAATAGAGATAAAGACAGTTGAGTAGGAGCGAGATTGCCAGTGAAATGAGAGCCAGGAAGCGAATCTGTTCAGGGAAGGAGTCACTGAGATAGTGTAGCCAGGTATAGCCATTGGCTGCTGAAATAAAGAATAAAGTGGTGACTGAGGGTTATGTATAATATACTGTATATTTCTTTGCTTTTCACTTTGCTGTAGTACTGCAGGGCCGGCGTCGCCGGTACGGCGGTCCGGTTTTGGCCGGACCACTTTATGTGATCGGCTGCGCATGCGCATGCGCATGTGATGATGAAGAGGGTGTGACGTCTCGTGGAGCTCGGTAGTGGAAAGAGTCTCTTGTCGGATCGGCGCGGCGGGGACAGTGTTAAAAGATAATAGCCAGCGGTGCCACCTCGCGGCCTTTTCAAGTTGTTATCTATGTATGTACTTGACTATGTAGGCCCGGCAAGAGGCCATATTATTTGCCAGATTGCACCAGAAACACTCTCAGAATGTCCTACATTTCGAAATTTTCCTGAGTAGTAGCTACTAGTATTGAAAACGCATGTGCAAAAGACTGAGGCAGTGTAGCTAGTAGCCATTGGCTGCTGAAATAAAGAATAAAGTGGCGAAGGTTATGCACTTTCAAGTGCTTTTCATTAGTTTTGTCTTTGTGCGTCATTGTGTTTGTGTGATGGACACCTGCAGCTTTTAATTAATTACCTGGCTATTTTGCTAATATGCTGGCAGCATTCTTTGATGTTTAGCCTAGAAAAGACTAGGGCAGCTCTTGAGCTGTCCTGGGTGTAGTTAACCTCGGCGCGCATGCGCAGCGAGGGTTACTGTAGTTGGGTTTGTCTGTGTGTCTGTTACTCTCAATCTCACCTCTCGAATGTGTGTTCGTCCCAGAAACGATACCATCTACCCAACGGGCGACGAAGGTCATAAAATATGTGGGGTTTTCTCTGAAACTGCTCCATTGCAGAGCTACAGCGCGAAAAAGCCAATATGCAAATTCACAACGGACGGGACGGCTTACCGCTGTCTGATCGATCCGCGTGCTCTGCGTACATCGGAGGCACCAGAAGATGCAACGCAGGGCGTGTATCGCCTCTCGCATGCTATCTAGTAGTGTAGTTAGCCCGCGTCAGACTCTGCGCGAGCTGGGAAGAGACCACGAGTGACAGCTAAAACTAAACCCAGCCCATCAATTAGTGTACTGCGCATGCGTTTACTTACGCGTGCGCGTTACAGTGCGCCGAGGGTTTGCACTTCAGTGCTTTTCATTCCAAAGTTCCAAAGTTCCAAAGTTCATGTTATGAGCCCAAGAGGGGTACAACGATTATGCATACAGAAAAATATAAGCATATATAAATGACGTGAACATGAGAAGAGATTAGAGAGAATTGGAGAGGGTAGTGGCAATCGTGAGGATGTTTTCATGAAAACCTCCTTCAATGGTTTCCAGAACTCCCGCGACAGATATGTCACTGTTGCAGTGGTCTGAGCTCACGTGCTCGAAGTACGAAGTGCTCTGGTGGATGATGTTGTTGCAGATGGGACATTCTCGCTTTCCAAACACTGGTCTGCACATTACACTCAGTAGATGTTGAGTTCCACGAACTCCGTGATCTAGGGCGATGTCCCATAGCTTGCACCATGAGGAGGCAATTCGAGGGTCCGCAATGTGCTTAGTCGACTGGTGACACTTGGCCATCTCTAGCACAAGTTCCCAGTCCCTTGAGATCAGAGCTTCTTTTGCTTCTTGCAGTACTAATTGAGCATTTCCAGGGTCATTAAGGCATTGTGCCGCGAATGATGTACCAAACTCACTTTCAAGTAGCTGACATTGCTCGACCAGACTGATCTTACTGACATCCTCAGAGGCAAGTGTACGGAAGACACGAGAGCTGAGGTTGTCGCTGGTAGATTGGAGAAGCTTCACTAGAAAAGTTAACTTCCTCAGAAGGATGCAAACTCTCATTCTTGGCCAGTGCAGAGCAATGATAGCAGCCAAGTATGAGTAAAATTTGGGTAGTCGTAAAATGCGTCTACCGATCTCTGCCTGAAACTTCTCCACAGTAGTTAATAAGGATTCGGTGAGTATCCAGTTTTCACAAGCCGTAGAGGAGTATCGGCAGCACAAAAGTGGAGAAGAGGCTACGCCCAGAGAGTGGGTTTAGGGCACCCTGGTAGGCACCGATAGAACCCAGGGCAAAGAAAGCCCTACGAGCTTTGCTGATATTCTCTTCAATTGATTTCACTGGTGTGAAGTTGGTATGCCACCAGTATCCAAGGCATTTAGCTGTCTGCTGAGTAGAGATAGACTGGTCAGTCAGTTGGATTTCTTCAGAGCTGAAAGCACAGGCAGAGAACTTGATTAGTTCTGTCTTGGTTGCATTCAGCTTCAAAGCATTGTCCAGTGCAAATTGTTCAATTGTCTTCCCCTGCTTCTGCAAATCGGTAATTGAGTTGCTGGTGGAGCGGATATCATCAGCATGGGCAGCAGAACTTATGGTAAGCCCGTTGATGGAGAGGCCCAACCCACTGATGTGGAGACGGTGTAGGAGGGAGTCCATCACGACAAGGAATAACAGGGGAGACAGGACGGATCCTTGTCGTACACCTCGATGAACACGGAAAGGGTGGGAGAGAGTGCCGCCATGCTTAACAACGCTCTCTGGATTTGTGTACCAGCTCCTAATGAGTCTCCAGCATTTCCCCTTGATTCCACGCTTGAATAGGTGTGATAGGAGAGTTGGAAATTCAATGGAATCAAAGGCCTTTTCAAGATCATATAGGCAGAGGTAAGCACTATCGCCCTCCCTCACAAACTTGAGCAAGGCCTCCTGGGTAGAGAATATTGCATCTGCACACGACACAGATCGCTGGTATGCTGTTTGTGACGAGTGGGGACAGCCTGCTTCTTTAAGTGGCATTTCCATACGATGTAGCAATATCTTTTCCAAGCACTTCGAGATGACGGAGTTAGGGTGATCCCCCTGTAACTGTTTGGATCAAGTGGATTACGACCCTTCCCCTTGTACACTGGAATGATCACCCCTAGTTTCAGACTAGGTGGAATGGATTCGAGGCAGAGGATGGCAGCAAAGATCCGCAGAAGCCAGACATGGATGATATACCCACCGTACTTGAGATGTTCTGGATCAAGGTCATCAGCACCCCCAGATTTGCCTGACTTTAGAGACTTTACTGCCGTTGCAACCTCATCCATGGTGATGTCAGTGTCAAAAGTAAAATCTTCGTACAAGCGAGAGCAAGCCTCGAGGTGTGGTAGCTCGGACTCCTGCTGCTTCACTGAGGGATGGTCATTTGCTTGAGATTGACTGAGGGAGTCAAAATAGGATACCCACACTTGAAGCAGATCAGTTGCGTTGGTTGCGGTGACACCGTCAGCTTGTAGCTTATGACAAGTGGACTGTTTCTTTGGCACATGGAAGCAGCCACTTTCATTGTTTCTGAGCATGGTGTCTCTCTGTTGTAAACGCTTGCGTTCGTGGCGGGCATGACAGGTGTTTACGTACTGCTTCACAGCATGCTTCTTGTGTTTCATGTCAGCATAGAGAACGCCGGATTTAGGGCGCCCGGCGTTTCGCCACCGTCTCCATGCCTCCTTACTATCACGACACATTTCTTTCAGAGAGTTGTCATGGATGAACAACTTTTTGTTATCTCTCCGTGTGCGATGTGGTAGAGAGGAGTTGGCAGCCTTGTGCATTATATCAGTGACAATCTTTATTTCGTCTTCTACTTCTTCGATACATGTTAAAGGCCGTGATAGAGAAGGGGCAATATGACGAGAGAGCTCTGATTGGTAGACCTTAATTGACCCATCTGATGCTGCCTTCCTCCAGTTTGGCCGTGGCTGTATATATGCTGGCTCACAGCTTATGCCCATTTGAAGATTCAGGGAGATGGATATGGGGAGATGGTCTGACAGGTTCAGAGGGTGCTGCTCATGAATGTTGCAAAAGTTGGTCGCATACACTAAGACGTGGTCAATGAGGTAGTAGTCAACAGTAGTGAAATTGCCAGCATGGGAATAGGTATGCAGGGGCCCAGTGGCCAAGGAGCTCACAGAGATTGGATACAGACTTGCCCGATTAATGAGCTCTTGCAGAAGGATTCCTTGAGCGTTCTTATCCCCACACACCCGCGGCCCACTGTCCTTTCCCAGATGAGCATTGAAATCTCCTGTGATGACGACAGGACCATTCCTCTGAAAAGAGGAGATCATACCCTCCAGGTCCGACAGATACTCTCTGAATAACTCCAGCGGGTGGTCTGAGGATGGAAGGTACACTCCAATGATGGTAAGCGTTTCATTCAATTGTTGAAGAGGTAGCTGGATAACTATAATTCTGTCTGAGTCAAGATGCACAGGAGACATAGGCAGATTCTTCCTCCACAGTACAGCCACGCCACCACACCCTCGACTAAAGTTGCATTCTGCATTTAGTCTATGATCAGAGATGCCAAGGCCAACAAAGTCAGGGTGGATATCATCCAACTTGTGCAGCTCATAAGGCCATAACCAGTGTTCAGAGAGAACAATAACGTCATGCTCCTGTGCTAGGTGCTGGATATACGGCAGGGCCTGCGAAAAACCACGACAGTTCCAGGCGCATACCCTCAACGATGTTTGCACAGCACCAGGTTCCATGGCTGGAGAGGTGGCTTCACGTTCAGTGGGAACATCATTTGTGCCAGAATGCTCTACATGACTTCTTGACTTCAGATCTTCAATTTCTACTCGTAGGTTGGCTATCTCAGCAACCAGTTTGTCCACGGTAGTTTGAGGGGAGGAGGACTTGACAGATTTGACGTTAGAAAGTTCATCTCTTAAGATGTTTAATTCCCTCATGATTGATGAATAGGCTGTGGCGCAGTTTAGATGATTGTGAGTAGAAGTGATTGACGAAAGTTGCACGTTGTTTTGTGTTGGCGCATTGTTAGTATGATGTTGAGTTGGCGCTTCCAGGGCGGTCTGAACATTACACATGCCACCCTCGTTAGTTGTTTGTGGGTCGCCTAATTGTAATTGTGGTTCGTGGGATACATGATCCTGCGTGTGCTCCCTGAGGGACTGTTGTGACGCTTCAAAAACTTGTCTACTTTGTTTCCCGTTTTTAGCAAGGTCCGCGGAATCCCCCTGCGACACTTTATGCACTGTACAAGAGTCCAAATGTCTTCAATGTACTTGCCTTTGACGGGATTAACTGGCGTGTTCAATCTTCTAACCAGCACACTGTACGCATCCGTTAGGCCTGAAATCTTGGCTTCATCAAATAGCGAGCTTCTCAATTCTGCAAGCGAGGTGGCTGAAGCATGGCGTAAACCGCTAGTGAACTCTGACTTCGGGACATTGATAGATACACCATATGCTGCTAGGTTCTCCATAGTTCTCGAGATAGGCAAGATAGAATAAGAGAAGTACGAGGACAACAGAACAATCAGACCAACCCTGAGCAGAACAACAACCTCCATGTAAGTCTATCAAAAGACGAGAGAGTAGTGATCCGCCA